CATTCAATTAACCAAATAAACTTAATAAAAAATAAATAATAAATAATTAAATATTATTTGAAAATAATATAACAATACTTTCTTATAATCATCAGTCCAAAGGTCAGTGGTAAATCATAAATACATATTTTTATATATTTATTACCAGCACAAAGACCCTTTTCAAATATGTGTTTAATTTCGGAAATAATTTATTGCGTATACCATCAGCAGTATCTATTAAATTTTTAGAAATTGAAGTGGGATTTGGAATGATGCTTTTTTTGGCAAAATATTGGCAACATTCAACAATGCTTTCCCTATGAATTGTATCAAATGATCTTAAATCAAGTCCGCAAAACATGGTAAGCACCTTTTTACACTCTTTTTTTTAAATTTGGTATAACTTTTGAGTTCTTGGGATCAGTACATAAAAGGCTATCAATTGATAATTGAGTTTTCTTACTCTCTATTGTAAATATACATTATGCCTTTTTAGTTGATTTGTGCCTAAAATAATTTAATAATATTAGTGTATAAATATACTAATCTGTTTTTATAGAATAATAAACGTGTATATTTGCACAAATTGCAAGTCACAAGATTAATTTTTTCTTTGTTTTCATTATATATAAATGAAAACTTTTAATAGACCTCAGATTTGCCATTGAAATTTTCCCTTACTTCATATTCATTGCTTTTAATCTATTCACCAATTTATTTTGATTTAACATCCATTAAAATAATCTTTTTAATATATGAGGCAATTTAATTAAATAGATTATATTTTATTTAACTTGATAGAATGTGATGAAAGGAAAGTATGTAATAATATCGTTTTACCTATGCAATGCACTAAAATATAACCACATACACAGTTTAATCTTGTCTTGTCTTGTCGTTCACTGAGGAAACACACAATTAAGTGATCTCCACCACCCAGCAGAGGGCGTATCCAGTGCAGTGAATTTGCATTCACTGTATGGCAATAATTTACCCTACTGACAGGGCCCATTTAATTAAAGAGGGATTCATGGTACCTCTCGTGGATAAGCCAGGATCCACTAAGTTTGGTAGTAATTTACCCTATTACCAGGGCCCGTTTAATTAAAGAGGAATGACGGTACCTCTCGTGGATAAGCCAGGATCCACTATTTAAGAAATAATAAATCTTATAAAGGAGGAAAAAAATATATAACCTAGGGTTGAAGAAAGAAAAAAGAAAATATTAAGGAAGAAAAGGGAAGTAAGGTCGAAAATAATGATTTAGATAATTATTGAAAAAAATGATTGATTTATTATTATGACTGATTAAAGAATTCTATTATTATATTGTATCTTTAAAAACATTAATATTATTATTTATTTATTTATTTTTGATTTAATTATTATTTAATTTTTTTTTAAAATATATATATATATTTTTTTTTAAATTATATATTACTCAATAAATTATAAATTAAATGTAACAAACATTTTATTAATTTTGTAAATAGATAAAAAAAATTAATGAATAGCAGACTGATATAAAAAATATAATAGTTTAAAATATTTATATAAAAGAATAACATGAATTGTATTAGGAATTAAAATTATAAAAAAATTTGAATGATCAGGATAAGGAGCAATGTTTTAGCAATTTTTTTCAATGAGATTTATCTTGAGAGATATTAATAAGAAAAAGACTATTCGCATCATTTTTTTGTAATAGATGGAGAGCATGTACATACCAGGTTTTCGTATTGTTGTAGTATTCTTTTTTATTGTTTTTTGTTTTATATTTAAGAGCCTTTGGAATTGTACAAGGTTAATATTAGAGATTATTTGAGGATATTTAATATTTAGAATGTTTCTAAGACATTTATTAATGAAAATTTGTATTTTGTAAAGGTTGGATTTTTTATTATCCCAAGTTTCTATACCGTAAGTTAAATATGAGATAATATAAATCTTAAAGATGTGTATTTTGAGGTTATTAGAATATTTGTATTCTATGATTTATTGATTCACATAAATACCTCGGCATTACTATTAATAGTAAAGGCAATACATTGATCAATCCTAATTCCAAACTAGCTATCATCAAAAAAAATATTACTCGCTTAATAAATTATGGTATACAAATATTCTATCAAATAACCTCAAAATACACATTTTTAAGATTTATATTATCTCATATTTAACTTACGGTATAAAAACTTGGGATAATAAAAAATCCAACCTTTACAAAATACAAATTTTCATTAATAAATGTCTTAGAAACATGTTCTAAATATTAAATATCCTCAAATAATCTCTAATATTAACCTTTGAAACAAATGCAAAATTCTTCCATTACATATCTTACTAAATTTTAGAAAAATTGAACTCCTTTGTCATACTTTAAGACATAACCAAATAAGTACAATTCCAAAGGCTCTTAAATATAAAACAAAAAACAATAAAAAAGAATACTACAACAATACGAAAACCTGGTATGGACATGCTCTCCATCTATTACAAAAAAATGATGCGAATAGTCTTTTTCTTATTAATATCTCTCAAGACAAATCTCATTTTAAAAAATGGCTCAAACATTGCTCCTTATCCTGAATCATACAATTTTTTTTATAATTTTAATTCCTAATACAATTCATGTTATTCTTTTAACTTTTATATTTTTTATATCAGTCTGCTATTCATATATTTTATTGTCTATTTACAAAATTAATAAAATGTTTGTTACATTTAATTTATAATTTATTGAGTAATATATAATTTAAAAAAAAATATATATATATATTTTAAAAAAAAATTAAATAATAATTAAATCAAAAATAAATAAATAAATAATAATATTAATGTTTTTAAAGATACAATATAATAATAGAATTCTTTAATCAGTCATAATAATAAATCAATTATTTTTTTCAATAATTATCTAAATCATTATTTTCGACCTTACTTCCCTTTTCTTCCTTAATATTTTCTTTTTTCTTTCTTCAACCCTAGGTTATTTATTTTTTTCCTCCTTTATAAAATTTATTATTTCTTAAATAGTGGATCCTGGCTTATCCACGAGAGGTACCGTCATTCCTCTTTAATTAAACGGACTTGGTAGTAGGGTAAATTACTACCAAACTTAATGGATCCTGGCTTATCCACGAGAGGTACCATGAATCCCTCTTTAATTAAATGGGCCCTGTCAGTAGGGTAAATTACTGCCATACAGTGAATGCAAATTCACTGCACTGGATAAGGCCTCTGCTGGGTGGTGGAGACCACTTAATTGTGTGTTTCCCCAGTGAACTACAAGACAAGACATATTGCTGTTATGTAAATTATATAATAATAATTGTAAATGACATGAAATATGATTGACATTTTAAAGATAGAAAAATGATATGGTGTTATAATCATTTTGAATTATAATGAATATTTATTTTTTGGAATGGACAGATCTTACAACCTGACTTGAGCCCAAACCCAGGAAAATTTTTTAAATGTTTGACCCCAATCTTAGCCTCTTGATAACATCTTTTAATATTTATAAGATAGGGGAGTTCCCTTGTTATTATTGACTTAACCCTACTCCCATTTTGTCAAATAAATGAACATTAAAATAGATAATAATAATAAGAAGAAGTGACAAAAATAAATACAATTTTTAAAGGAATTAATATTACTACAAAATTGTTTCAAAAAAAACAATAAGGGCTGCAACTTTAGGCTTAGAGTATGTTTATTTATATTTTATTATCAATAACCGTCCCCTTTTGCATAACCTTTAGGCAATGCATAACTGAGGTAAGCAATAAATGGCCTAGTTATAAATGAGTATATTTTAAAATTGGCACTAGATTGACAAATATTTTTTTTATAAATAACGATCTTGGAATATTAATAACACTTCATAATATATTATTCAACAAAAATATTTTAAAGAGGGATCTGTAGTGGCAAATAAAATCAGCCAATGCTTTGGAAACCAATTTGATTTCTAAATTGTCAGATTCTGAACATTTCTATAAAATAATTTTGTTTTATAACAAGTTGTGAAGTTATATAGATATTCCAATATGTTTATGCATAAAAAATTTGCTGCCAATCTCATGCTAGTTCTTAGATATTCACATTTATGATTAGGTCATTACAAAATCAACAAAATATTTGCACAGCCCTAATAATTAGGTCCAATGTATATCAAGCAAAATAAAATAGATAAATATGTATAAAACACTATTTAATCCAAGCTATATGATCAAAAATTTAAATATGTAAGAGACTATTAAAATGAATGGGCATAATAAACATGTACATTATAATTTAATTTTTTGTAGATAAAAATATATTGTAAATTCTAAAAAAAAATTTAGTATTTAATAATTTATAAATTTCAAATTGAATTATAATCCCCCCCCCCCACCAGATATCCTTAAAATTAGGTAAATGATTTAAATTATATGAAATTCATGAATTATTATATATTTCACAGACCTGCAGGCCCGGCCCTAAGCCTGGCTGTATTTTATTATTTTTAAATATACCCGGGCCAGGCCTGAAAATTTTTTTTAAAAAAATACCCTGGTTAGGCTAGGCCATATATTTTAAAACCAAATATTTGAAATTGCCATTATTAGCTATAAAAATCAAAAATAAATAAAATATATTCAAAAAAAATCCAGGCTGGGCCAGGTTGAAAAAATTTCTTTAAAAAAATCTGTGCCAGTTTAAAAAATAAAATTGGCCTTGCCTGGATTTTTTTTAATCTGGCCCAAGTTTTATATTTTCAGGCCAGTCCCAGATTTTTTAAATATATAATTGTTTTAAATTTTTATGAATAATAATGGCAATTTAAAATATTCAGCCTGGACCAGGTATATTTAATAAATTACAGCCCAACCTATTCAGGTTAGGGTTGTAGGTCTCAGGTATATATTCATTTTGATAAAACTAAATTTTCCAATAAATTGATATTTATTAATTTTATAAATTTGGATAATATTTTATCAAATGTTTTTAAAATATATAATAAAAAATACATTAGATTGCTGGAAAAGAATGACTTTATCAGGGTCTATACCACATGCTAACAATGTTGCAATTGACTTGCATATATTAAATCTGAAATTGACATTGTAATATAAATTAATAAATGCTAATTCTAAAATAATGTTACAATAAATTAATTTAGTAGATTTCAAAGCTTAAAATATTTCAATAATAATAAACTTAAGTTTTGATGGATCTTGATATTTAGTAATGGCATGTAAGTCGGCAATAAAATAGTATATATTTTTTTTATTACAATAATTATTTTGTATTTTAACCCATGAATTTATGGCTCCAAAATAATTTCCAATATGAAAATTACCAGTAGGCTGTATTCCTGACACAATAATTTTATCGTTGCCTACCTAAATAAATGGATTTACTATTATTATAAAAGGAATTTGCATTACATCATTACTTGGATAATGAATATTTTTAAAGTTTCGTAAGAAACATTTGGTCTGTGGTAAATTTTTTAAATGCATAAATTTTATGCATGCATGTTCTAAAGATTTCTTAATATTATGCTGTTAAATAGTGGCCGATATAATGGATTTGTAAAATACGGCATTTTCGGATGAATCTATGGTATACACTTTATGAAATTATAAGTTAATATGTAACCTATAAAATTAAAATCATTTTACATATATTTATTGTAAAAAAATCTAGGGAAGTTGAATAATATTAAATTAAATTTATTTAGAAGGATTTGAATTCAATGGACATGATATTAAATCTTTATGAATATATGGGAAATCTCCTAAATTTATAGTTAAACAAAAATCTAAATATACTTAATTAAAAAAATTAACTTTATTAAACCCATCCCTAATTAAGAACTCTCATTTAAATAGGGTACAGGCAAATTTTTTACCTTCTTATGGCCTAAAGGCGTTTAAGCATAAACCTATTCTTTATGTGCACAAAGAATACTACGGCCTCCCTGAAAATTTGTGGAGGAGTTTCATTTTAATTTTAAACCGTTAAAATTTTTGCCCAGGTTAATCGGCTTGAGATGAATCAAGATTAGTTCTATTGTTTTTAACAGTATAAAAGGCGAAACGCTTAAATAATGACAAATGAAACAAAATTTTTAAATATTGTGCAAGTTTTTTTGATGAAAAGACAGAGTGGGTACAGTGTGAGACTATGTGCTTGCACCATAGTTTTAAAAAAATTGTTAGTCTTAGGATGAACTACGGTTTCTTTAAAGAAGTAAGGTGGGGCTCAAACTATAGATGGGGACATCATATGTAGGAGCGGAGGAGCTAGGTTTAGTTTGTTACCAAAGGGGGTAGGTATTTAAGGTGGGTGGGGGGGGGGTAAGCTAGGAGATAGGCAAGGGGTTAAATTTATTGGGGTTTATCAATTAAATATTTAGATGAAATAGGGCAAAATATAATATTGTATAAAAATATTTATTGATTATTAGAAACCTGTTATAAAACAATGGGATGAAAAAATATCGATCAAATCTATAAATTGGATTCAATCATAGTCATTATTTTTCAAATAAAACTTATTTATGCATAATTTACCTTTTAAGTATAATTTAAAAGAGTTATATATTCCATCAGCTAACTCATATTCACGCCAAACAATATAATCCAATAATTTATTCATTGTTAACGAGAGGTTATTTAATTAAAAAATAATTCTTTTACATTCATAATTTTTTTATAGTTGATAGTAGAGTATTGATAGTTCAAATTATTTATGGGGGCATCATTATGATTAAAAAGATATTATTCATAATGTGGGAATATCTCCACAGAGGATGGAGAATTTTTCTTAGTGAGTAGTTTTTGACGGAGGTTAGCTTCCTCTGAATATCCTGTCATATGACTCTGGATGGAAAACGATTAAGTTTGGCAGAATTTACCAAGGAGCACTAGATTATTAGACAACAAAAATAGCTATAGAACCATAAAAGAATGACTACAAATTATAACCAATTTAAATAAATACGAATAATAACAATAATCAATTGTAAATAGCTCATGGAAATAGTTAAAGTTATTTATTTAAAATCAGTTATTCGTATCTCTTAGTCTTCCTTATTTTAATTTTATATATAACATAATAATTCATTCGGGATATGAGTAGTGGTTCAAAAAACATTAAAACAAACCAGCCAGGTTTAAAATTGGCCATAGCTATTAGTCGTAGTTATTTTATTAAATTACTATGGCTATTATATTAGTCATAATGAATATAGCTAATAGCTAAAGTTATTTTTTCTAATCTAAGGCTTAGTCAAAAGCTGTCTTGATTTGCATTTCCCCATCATGACTTAACTTCCCTCCTGCCAAAAAACTTAGGAGAACACCTTGAATATCTTAATTCTTTTAAAATATATTTCCATTTTTTGCTACTCATATTAAATTTCCTTTTTTGATTAATTTTAAGATGTAATATTTTGGTAATATTAAATAAAATTTTCCTAATTTAGAAAAAATATATTGATAAAGTGGGTTCCTGCATGTTGAAAAGATAGTGATGCAATGGCACACTGCACCCAAAAATAAAGCCACCATCAATAAAAATGCCAGATTTTTTAAAAACATAGTTTAGAGGAGGCTACCAAAGAACTCAGATCAAAATATCTATAGGTATCTTTTTGTAACACCAAATTTTAATGATCTAGCCATGCTCCCAGTTTCTACTTAAAGAAGAAAGTTATAAAAAATAAAATCTGGCCTCTAATCAATTAATGCTTTTAAGTAGTATACAGTTTATTTTCAGTAAATTATGGAATATTCTATGTATTTTTGACACTTTAATCATACTTTTAGTATCTGGCATTTAATCAATTAATGCTTTTCAGTAGTATACAGTTTATTTTCAGTAATTAAGGAATATTCTATGTATTTTTGACACTTTAATCATACTTTTAGTATTTATAAATTGAAATTAAAATTGTATTAAAGCTATTTATTTTTTAACTTTGAATAAATCGATCTCGGTGTCTCTATCTTACAATCTCAATCTCTAGAGTCTTATAATGTGATTCTTTTAAATTTATATGATAAAATATGTAGTCTAATTTTCTTTTGCTTGTTTCTAAATCTAGAAAGAAGACCTAATATAATATAAAAACTACAAACTCCAATAGGATGATACGAATTAATTTTTTAAAATAAAAATTTTAATTACCGGCCAATTTTATGACTTAAGTGCTTGAAAAAAAATATAAAAAATTATTTCTTAAATCGAAATGATGATCATCTTAGAAGCGATATAAGTATATATAAAATGGACGTAAAGAAACTAGGGGAGAATTTTTAATGATAGTTTTGGTTATAGTTCGATTTCTAGCCTATTTTCTCTCAGTTCTACCCGGATTCCAGATTTGATTTGACTTTTTATGCGAAGGTTCAAATCTGAACATCTTTTAAAAATAAGCCTTCTAATTTTTTTTTTTACGTAACTTTACAAAAAAATGAAAATGAAGGTGTTTCCAATTTATAATCCTGCACTATATATTTGAAAGGAAATATAAAAATATTTTCCAAAGGTTTCATAAGAATTTTAAAAAAAGCATAAAAAAAATTTTTTTCTTAATTTATTGATTATTTTTTCTTAAAAAGTAAATATAAAATTTTATTAATATCATTATATATAAGGTTTGATCAATTTTTTTGCTATATCTTTTTATGACATATTAAATTAATAAGCTTTCAAAAAAAAATTTTTTTAATATCATTTTATCTTCTTCTAACCAAAAAACAGTTATCAAAACTATAAAAGCAAATCGAGCGTTAAACTTAAGTTTGAAATGAGAATTTTAAATGTATTCATAATTTTAGGGAAAAAATAGGCCATTTATTATATTAAAAATGTAAAAATAATAATTTTATCAAATTGGAATGATGATAAATATAAATACTATAATTTTGCTCAACCAACCCCCCCCCCCCGCTCAAGGCTGGAGTTCAGGGTGTAAGAAAAAGAATAAAATTTAAAACAAGGAGATTGGGGAATCAAAATCAAAAAATATGAAACTGCTGCCGGTATAACCACGTGACCTGTCTCTGAGTTCCTATTGATATTTTATTTTATAACCCCGAAAATTATATTTTACACGATAATTCAAATAACATTCACATAGGCAGATCCAGGTTTTATTTTAGGGGGGGGGGGCACTATTAGATGGATTTTTCCCCCATGAATTTTATTGAAGATCTTTAGGTTAACTTATTTTAGGTCTTTGGCTATATTAGATTTTTATAAAAAATAATTTAGGGTCTTCACTTTTTTTAATATCAAAATAGTTATTTTTAAAAGTTATTAATTTTTACATCTTCCCATATATTTTATATATATTGAGGGGAGAGGGGAAGGGGGTGGTGGTGTGTAGGGTGAAAATTTTTATTAGCTAAAAATGATATTTACGGAGAACAGGTAAATTTTCGATGGGGGATGAAATTTCCCCATTTCCTCTCCCATCGGCTACGCACCTGATCATTCACAGAGAGAACAAATTTACTGATTATGAACTCAACTGGTTTTCTTGCAAATTTTGGAGGAGTTAATAATGGCTCACCTGATGTGGCTTGAATTATTATTATGTAGCTAAGTTGACTTCGTGGATAGGATTAAAAAATATTAGGTATAAATTTAAATTATTAATTATAATATAACATTATAAGAACTTTATCCCTGACGAACTTAATTAACTTTATTCTACAAGAAAATTAACATATTCTTATTGTGATTCTTCAAAAAAAAATCTTTTTATTTAAAATTAACTCTGATTACCGCTTTTAGCTATTATCGATTTTCGCAAAACTTTTGTCAAAATATTTTATGTAAATATTATATGAAAATATGAAATCATAAAAGTATACAATATTTTTTTTTCTCCCATTTCAAATCATCAAAATAAATTACTGGAAAAATATATTATTATAATTTTATTCTTCTTCATTATTATATGTAATGTAATGTTCATGTTCATTTTCATAAATATATATTATATTATCCATATAACATAGTATATTTGGCATTATTTTTGGTTTATTATTTTAAGTTTTATTAATATTATTTTATAAATTAGCTGCTATCTTCGGATAACTTAACACAATATGACTAGGAAAGAATAATGCGGATATGAGAGGGGGTAGCGTTGACTCAGTGTAAACCTTAGAAATTTTATCTCTATTGTCATATCAATCTCTTTTCAGAAAATCCCGTTATCATTTACTTGCAGTACGGTAAAAATGTTAATGATACATTTAAAACGTATTATACTGATACAAATCATGGTTTCCAGATATTATTTCAAATGCATTCCTTTTTAAATGTTGCTATTATACACAATAATAAAATCGATACATTTCCGATACAAAAACGATATGCTTTTTTTTAGTCCTTCAATAAGTTTATATAAATTTGTAAAAAATTTAATATTAACCATTATCACATGAAAAAATATTATTAAATATAAATATAATACACTAAACATTTTTATTTGCTATTATAAATAGAATCATTTTTAAATTTTTTTGTTAATTAACATCTCCATCGATCACTAACATTTTTGCTAATCACCTACAGGTCTTGCCTGGTGAGCATATTTTAGGCCGATGCCCAAGTAGAAAGTTCGCATCATAAAATTTTATTTCTGAAACAGGTCACTATTTTAAATAAAAGCAAAGGGTGGGAGGGCAGGTTGAAAAATTAACAAAATAACCAAAGTTTTACCAATCTTCATCATCTCGCCAGGCCTATAAATTTTTTATTAATATCTCTGGTTGCAACATTAAATAATTGCCTTTCTTAGGCGCCAGGCAGAATAATGTTGAAAAATGATTTTAATATTATAATCTATGTGCAGAGATCATTTTCGAAATTTTTTCTAAAAAAATACTGTTCAATCAATTTCGTCATAAAATGAACAATCTTTTTTTTTAAAATTATATTTTAAATTCTGAAAAGTTGATAATTTATTAACTAATATACTTTTGTTTCAGCTCTTTCTTTGTTTCATTCTCTGGGTTTGGATCCAATCCCAATAAATTATGAGTCCAGCATGGCTACTATATACGTTCACCATCTTATATTACTTGTAAATCTTTATGTACAACTATTAAAAAATAGTTTAATTGAATATGTAAAAGATAAGACTAACACATATTTGCCAGAAGTTTAGCCTTGAGCGTTCGATATTAGAAAAGCGTACCAGGCACAGTATTACAATAATTTAACTTTGTCCTGCTGATGTGAGTAAAATGAATAAAATAAAATTGTCACTCACTTCAGTGAGAGAACTAACTTTATCCTTAAAATGAAGAAATTAATATATTTAGATAAAACAAATTATATATTTTTTTAATTCGGGGTTGAGACAATCTATAATAATAATAATATAAGTTCATATAATACTTTAAAATTCAATGTCTTATTATATTAATTAATTTAGCACCTATTGACTCTCAAACCCTCTTTGATTCACAATCCTCTTTTGGAAATTATGTAATATTTATTAATTGTATTCAGATTCATAATAGTCGGGTTATTCTAAATAAATGTTTGAGTAAGTATCACTCTTTTATGTGAGTAAGAATTGGAAGATGGGGTAGGATTTTTATTCAGTGGTTTAGGAATATTATATTTTTTGCTGGCTTAACTCATTGATAAGAAAACGTCTTATTTTTATTTTTGATAGTATCCTAAAACCTCTTTAGTATTGAAAATTTTTGGCTCGATAAAGTTTAATCTTGCAAAATTAATTCATTTTTTTCTAATAGTTAATATTTTTAAAGGGCATAGGAATATGGAGAAGTTTGCAACTTCTTGAAATAAATGGAGTTAAATATTCAATTGTTTAAAACTTAGCAATAAAGGCTAAAAATAATTTCAGAAATAGATTTATGCTTCTAAGATTGAACAGATATCATATAATAGAAGATAGTTTAAAAGTAGTCTTCTCTAGCCTATATATATATTGGTTTTTTATACCATCATGGCAGAAAAATTATATGACTCCAAAAGAGTTAATGAGATGCTTAAATTTTAGTAATATTTTATTTGGGGGGAGAGGGGTCTGGAATATCTGCCCACTTCTTATAAACATTCTACTTTCGCAATATAATTTATATTAATATTTTATAATCCTAAAAAGAATAGCATATTGTTTATGAACAATATTTTAATTATTATATTTTATTAAAATATTTTTTGTTTTAAAAAAAAAATTATGTTTTAATATAGTAATAAAATTTATTGTGTATATTTTCTCTAGAGAATAAATAACTTATTCGTTGCTCATTAACTTTTTAAATTGCTTTTTATAAAATAAGCAATAAAAAAAAAGAAGAATTTTTACTAATCTTTATCGAAAATATTTTTCTTGCTTCTTTTGATTACATAACTGTGAGAAAGGAGAGAGCACTTTTATTTTTTTTAAAAAATATTAATCTATCGCCACAATAAATATTAGCTGCTGGCATTAAATTTTTATCAATAATTTTTTATCATATCATGTCATATATGGTCCATCCTTTTTTTTTACAAAAAAAAATATATTTTTAAAATTTAGCAAACGATTTTATTTTTAATTTTAGAAATGACCAGATGAGGCCGTTATAACCCCTTCTGAATTTAATGACACTTCCTTCCTTGTTAGAACAAGTGTACGACGAAATGAAAAGACCAAAATACCAGTACTTAGAAGAACTCAAAGATTTTCAGTTTTGGAGAGCCTTGAGGTGCGAAATGCTTGGAACATTTCTATACATGATATTTTTATCCGGGGTGACTTTAAATTATCAAGGTGAAAAAATTTCGCTAATCAATGACGATTTTAAAGAATCTTGTAATATCATTAAGCTTTCAGCGGAAAGTAAAATTATGAATGGGCCAGTGATGAGTTGGACTGATGCAAAAACGGAATCTGTCATTAAGTATGATTGGGAGAATCGTGATTGGATACAAGGAACGAAGTTTTCTTATATGATAATAAATTTATATCCTTATATTGTTCTAGATCTAGAAACAACAATGAAACAGTTAATATGTCCGACTCTTTAACCGATAATGCCCATTATAATACGAATAATAGTAGTGAGTTATTTAATACAAACGTATCGTTTATGTTATCTTTAAACAAAAAATTTAACCAAATTAAATTGACTAAACAATATCCTCATGAATATCCAGACATCAAATTAAATGTTAGCCCATCCTTATTAAATATATGTGTGATAATTGAAAATGCTCAACCTATCCATAAAGATTACGTTACTTTAAACGAAGAATACAATATTCTAAAAATTGCCATTGTATCTGGTTTCTCTATGTGCATACTCATACAAATATTTGGACACATAAGTGGTGCACATTTGAATCCGGCCATAACTCTATCATATTTAGCTGTCAATCATATAAGCGTTTTGAGGTGCAGTGCGTATATTGTTTGTCAATGTTTGGGAAGTATAATAGGAGTTACAATGATTAGGGCACTAATCCAGCCTTCTTTTTCTATTTTCTCGTTATTTCATCCTAACATATCAGACCAAGGACCAACAAAAACATTTATCTTACCTCACACTGATTTATTCTCTATCCAAATTATCACAAATGTTCAAGGATTCGGCTTAGAGTTTATAATGACATTTGTGCTTGCTCTGATCATTTATTCTACCTTGGATCCCAAAAAAACCCTTCTCATACCTCCTAATGGATATCTTAAGTCATTTAATAAAAATGGCCACTCGGGGCTTTTGAATGAGGGAAATAGTTGCGATATGGAAGTAGATCCTTATAATCATCCAACTTCGGCATTAATAAGCATGAAAAAGGAAAATCTGGATAAAATACAACATCAAAATAAGAATGTTTTGGAAAGAGGTTATAAAATGAACAGTAACCACATGATTAAAAAGGATGGAAATATAGCGGAAGATCTGTTGATGAATGACAAAGATTATCAGGGAAGGACTAGGGGATTCATTATGTATCCTATATCTGTAGGACTGTACATAACTTTCGCAACTATATTCGGGGTAAAGAATAGATATTTTATATTTCTTTGGCTGAAACCCATATTTATATGTTGCCTTTTTGTGATAATTTAGTCTTAGGAATAAAAATTGAAAGAATACTAAACCTAAGCACCAAATATTTTTTAAAAAAATTTTGTAAATTTAATTTACTATATTATCTTCTTTTTTGAAAAATTTAAATGATATACTTCCAAATTGAGATTGATCAATGTTGCATTCTTCTCTTCTCCCATATAAATAGCTTCCTAAGTCAAAATGTTTTTTTTCAAACTCTTAATGTCCTTTTTTTAATACTAAATTAGATTGACAAGCTATAATTTTAAAAAAGGACATAGGCGACTAAAAATAGATATGTAATATATATATATATGAATTTAGGGTTGTGTATTTGATCGTTCAAATAAGATTCAGTCAGTTGACCGATATTTGACAGGTCAAATGTAATCAAATACGGTCAAATACAGTCAAATTCAAGTAAATGTTTTTATGTTATCTTTATTTTATATATAATAGTCAAATGAATATATTATTAATTCTAAAATATTATTTAATTTCATTGTCATTCAATAACTAATGTTTCGCTCTCCTTGGCAGAGTTTTGTTCTGATTTATATCCAATATTATCATTTTCTTTATTTTTTTAATCAATTTTCCTGTTGACGAAATCTTCAATCGATTTCTGTTTTAGTAAGAATATTACCACAAATCGAAAATTTCTTTCTGAAGAAGAAGTAGAACTATAAATTGTTAGTAAAATGCCACTTCTCTTAAAGGGCATGATGGGCAAAGCCCATTCATCTAACTTGAGGCAGGAATCTATATGTTTCTTATGGAAGTTACTGCTTTTCACATACTTTGCTATTAAACATGCCACTTTTATAAATAAAATTTATTATATCACTTGAAATTTTTTGATTATCACCAAAATGTCTGATTCTTGTATTATATCACTTACTTCATTAAATTCACTATAGTAAGATGCTCCACGATATTGATGACCCAATAAATAAGCAATATTGTGATCACATTGTATTTATATGGTTTTTTTCTTTTTTTAAAAAATATTTTTAATTTTTTTTTCAGAATATTTAGAGTATTTGATGGTATTTGACCTGGTCAAATACTTTTCATGTCAATTGACCGACTTGCCAACCCTAAATAAATGATTATAATTTGTATTTTTTAGTATAAATACACAGGGGCAAGTATGAACCCTGCCAAATCTTTGGGTCCAGCAATCATTAACAAACAATGGAACGATCATTGGGTAAAGTCAATATAATTATCGATATTTTAGTGCTTACATGTTTCAACTTTTTTTTAGTGCTTATTATTTAAAAAAATAATGGTGTTTTCGTTAAAAAATTATAAAGGCCTTTTTCTAATAGTTTTGGATAAGTATTTTAAAATAAGGAATGAGGAGTGAGAAGTAAATTCCATTTATTATTATATTTACAAGAGCGCTTTTTTACAAAATTAATGATTGATGCAAAGCTGAGATTTAATAAAACTGAAAAATAGGACACTTAAAAGGGAAAGATTTTTTATATTTTTTAATATATATTAGATTTATATTAGGTCAAAGTTACTTATATATTAATTACGTAAATTCTTTTAAAATAATCATTAGTTTCAAATTAATATTATCAATTTTCGATGGACAATTTTTGAAAATATCATACAAACTTACAAACTATTGTGCCTACACGATTTATACAATATTACAATTTTTTATTAAAAATGAAATTCTATATTTAAAATTTTAAATAATAAAAAAAGACCCTATTTCTAAAAATAATTTTTTTCTATACCCTAATAATATGATGTGTTTTGGGTTAGTCCTTCGGATTCATTTGTATTCGATATTCGATAATAGAGTCCCACATGTCAGTTAGAATTTATTTGGGATTGGGACAACGCAGATAGAGATTTTTTGAAATTTTATTTAACTTTATAGTGTTTCAAATTTATAAAAATTGCAGGCCAGGCTTAAAAATAAATAAAAGATTTGGCTGGATCAGACTTGGGTCCAAATATATAAAATAAAATTGGGAATGTAGGCATAAAAATGATTGGTTAAGAGTAATTGTTGTCTGCACTCCAATTTTAAGTGTATAACATTTATTAAAATTGCTTATAACATATATATATCATTTTATTCACAGCGTAATTTTTTAAATATATGTCTATCTGATTTTATGATAATTAATCAGCCAATATCGATTTCGCATTTTCTTTTTAAAATTTAAATATTAAAGTAAGAATTGTCTATCATTAGTGACCATTTTTTTCTTGGATAAAATTAACATGGTAATAAGCGAATTTAAAACCGTATTAAAAACATAGTTACCACCCAAGTTTCTCTGGTGCATGAATTGATGTCCTTACCACGCCCAAAACTTAATTAATTAGTTATAATATAAATATTATGATAGCAAAAGTTAAATAATTTGTAGGTAATATAAATTGTAAAACAGTTGCTTTGTGAGTTATAAGATATTATTTTAGTGGAGTCACTAGGGGTGGGGCTCGGGCCACTAAAAATGGTTTCCTTTCTTCCTCTTCATCTTCTTTTTTTGTTTATTTTGGATTTTCCTTTTTCCCCAAACTAATTTAAATTCGAATTTGGATCCCTCTATTCCTTTTTGTTAAAATTTTTTTTTATGATTGGTATCCCTCCTTCTTTGGAAATGAATACGAATGTTGTTTTGAATAGATTTGAAGAAAAAACGTTCAAAAAAATAACTAAAATTCAATTGCTATATTTTTAGCAGTTTTAGCCAATTTAAGTCAGCTAAACCAAATTTTTATTGCCGAAAATTATTAGGGGAAATGTGCCATGAATGGCCATGTTTTTGCTTTTTTGAAAAAAGGTATTAAAATTTATGTTTAAACAAACAAAGTTTGTTCAATGTGTAGCCTAAATATTAATATTTAAAATAAAATTTGATTCTAAGCTCTATGTAAAATACTTTATGAGTGTGAAAGTTGTTTTTCTGGTCAGTCAATACATAGTATGTAATGTATTGACTGGCCATATACTATGTGTTAACTGGCCATAATATATTATTTAAGAATTTTTATAAATATGAAATAATACAATATGAAATAATTGTAAAAGACCTATATTAATATTTCTACATTTTTTTAGTTATATAAAAAATTAATTATACACTAATTTAATTAGTATTAAAATCTCTATTTATTACCACATTTATTTAATGATAATATTATAAATTAATATCTTAATTATCATTTAACTTAACATTCTTAAGCTTTTCATCATTTTATTTCACCAAATGTTGTTTTGCAAGAGCTTTTCATTTTAATATGAATATGTGAATGTGCGAATTGTGGCCAATCAATACATTGCCAGTCAATGCTCACCTCTCTATTATTATTAAGCGCCTTTATATGTCTATTAAATAAAGCTTTTAAAGTCTAATTTTATGTGTGAATAATGCTAAATGCCAAAGGATAATATTTATATAAAATATCAGTAATCTAAATTAGTAATTTTTTCACCAAACAAAAAAATGTGTAACGTGATTTTTCCAGAAAGAGGTACTATAAACAGTTTATTTGAAATATTTTTTTATTGAATTGCTCTATTCAATAAATGAACTTAGGTATAGTGCATATCATAAATATACACATTTTGACCAATTATGAGAGAAATTGGTCCAATAGATAAAAAGTTAAAGGGTGGTGGTTAGTCTTCACACATCATTTATGGCACATTTCCCCTACTTTAGGCTCGGAATTTTTCTTAAAAATATAGCAGCTCAAATTTGAAAGAAAATAATGTAAATTAAGACGCCTTAATTTTAAAGGTTTTTCTCCAGCAGGCGCCTGAAGATTGAACCGAATTAGCCGGTATTTAGCCATTACCCAACTATGCATAACCGGGAAAAATAAGGTTCGTAACATCAGTAAATAATATATACTATTTAAAATTTAATCTTTTATTTAATATCAAAGGTGTATTGGATAGGGCCTATATTGGGTGGACTTATGGGTGCTTTCACTTATGAATATACAGCCACGGTTTCATCTAATCATAAATCTTTAGGCTTTAAACGGTCATTTAGAAAAAGCCTCATCGGTTGTAAGAAAAGCGGTGATGAATCCATTCATCGGCCATTTTATCTAAATAGCGAACTTCAGAAAAAAACACCGGATCCATTAAATATGCCCAACGATTCAAGCGATATATGTGATGAAGGTTCTGGAAAAACTAAAAAAAACTCAATCATGACTACCAGTTTATCAATGACCGGGTTTTCAAATTATTGAAGAGAAAAAATTTAAATGATTTTTCTTCTTATTTGGGATATGGAATCCATAGAAATTCAGAATCTCTAAATTTTATATCATTTCCGGAGAGATTTTTTAAATTTGAAAAAATCTGATTTGATTGGAGCATTCCAACATAGATTGAACATCTACCCTGTAAATCTTAGAGAATTATTGCCATAAACTTTTGTGTATTGTTTTAATTTAATTTTTAAAAATCTATGTAATAAAATTTGATCTATGCAAATTGGCTAAAATTTCGAGTGGGGCTCTTTAAATATTAGAATTCCATTTCAGGTCAAGTTAGATTTTTTAAATTTAAAAATCGTGCTCAGCAAATGATTTAAAATTGAGAGAATCCGAATACAAAATGGATTCTATATCCCAATATGACATTTATATCTCTAATTAAAGACTTGAAAACCAGGGGAAAAAACATTTTAAAAAAAGGATTTTGATATAAGTTTAAAGAAGGAATCTGTTATTCAATATATATTTGGATGGCGTTTCATATTATATAAATCAAATATATTCTTCTATGTTTATCATTTTTACAATAATACTATTTATACGTATAATATTTGTAGTTCGCCAAAATAAAATTGATTTAATTTATTTAACCCTACATTCAAAGAGGATTTATTTTTCATATGCCATGTTTTGTTTGTTGCATAATTGTACCTTAACTCACAATTGCTTGCCAAAGATTGAATCTACTTTGGGCATGGCCTATTAATAAGAAAGCATTGACAAAATTTAACTCTTTCGGTAGAAAACATCATTGTTGTTAAATTTAACGCAGAATTTATCATATTTTATTTATGTTCGTTATTAAATTTTAAAAATTAAATATATAAATCGTCTATAACTTTAGTTACCTTTTTTTTATATTTAGGGGAATACTATATATCAATAGATGCCTACGACTATATACTATAAGTTACAGAGACCTTCAAGGGCCTTAATTTTTTGATGACGCCCGGCCCAGGCCCGCAGTAGAAAAATATTTTTAGTTTCAGACCCGGCCTAAATATCCAAAATTTAATCTATTGTATTTAATAAAAATAAACAATAATAAAGTGTATTTAGGTAATCATTATGTTTACAATACTAAAATGTACTAAGAAAAATATTTACAATATTTTTTAAGTTATCAACTGTTTTAAATAAGCTAAAATTTAAATTAAAAAAATTCAAACCTAAGCCCATCTCAACCCATTAAAATAATTTCAAGAACCCAGGCCCGCTCGAAAATATACCCCTATGCCGCGGCCAGCCCGGTCCATAATCTCTGTAAGTGAATACGATCATATTTTAATAAGTAATTTTACCCACAAGCCCTAACCATGGGATTAAGTATAATACCTTGAGGGGCTTCCTAAACCATTGAATTTCTTGCTATATAATGAACAAAAATGTCATTTTTATTTCTAGATAGATATTTATAAAATAATTTAGATATTTAATTTAAATTATAACTATAAAATTTGGACAAAATATATTATAAAAATTAAAATATAATTTTGATTTTAAATACATTTATAGCATATAAAATACTTGTTCTTTATAATATCTCATGTAATTTAATATATATAATCTATAAAATAACCAACGATAATATATTCAAAAAATTTTTAAATTATATATTAGCTGTTTAGAGTATTCTTATTTTCCAAGCCCCACTAGCAATAGCAGCATTAGCTTTATTAATTATGATTAAAATAATCTTTAGATACCCAAAATGTTCGTAGAACTTTTTTGAAATAATAAGAGGGTTGGTTTGGTTCTCTAACTTTTCTACTAAAATTATATATTCATATTTAAAAATTAATAAAAATTATATCTTGTCTCTTACAACAATTTCTCTAATTTGACATTAAAGTTTAATTTCTCATATAAATTTATTGATAATCAATTATTTCTAAATATAAATTGTATATATATGCACACAACTGTAATCTATATTAGGATAAAATTTAAATATCCAGGCGCCTTCAATTTAAAAATGGGATAAAATTGTTTTTCACGTCCCTTCTCCCCTTATTAGATAAATGACTTAGAGCGAAGATACATATAGATGCCAGCATAAAGTAGCTCATTCAATAGCAACAATGGCTGCCCCTTTTTTTATCATAAGCCTACTAATAAAGGGGAAAATTAAATTTATTCCTAATATATAAAATTGGCATTTGAACAAATGGAACCCCCCATAATAAATCTGCAGCAATCAAATTTTTTGTTCGGAAAATCTTTTCAAAGTTATACAGATGTAAAGCTAAATCCTACATAATATTCCAATTCCTCATTAGAGTGATGATATGTTGAAGATTATACACTCCTGGCAGTCTTCGTTTTGCGAATGCGTCAAAAAATGCTACTTTCAATTAAACAACCTAACGTTTTTTTTTACACAATGCTAAGCTGCTGCTCAATTCATAATCACACAAAAATTCATTAACATAACAATCTTCTAATTATTTTATAGATGCTACCTCATAGTAAACAGCATTAGGTCGATTAATTCCCCTTCTTTACAGAAATAATTGAAAGATAAGATTTATAAAAATGAATATAAAGTTTTACTTTATTGACAGGCTTATTTCTTTATTCAATATATAGATCTGTACATCTCATACTAAGCTCAATTTTTCTTCCTTACAAAACAGTGGATAAAATTTGCCAATCATCTTTCAAAAAATTCTTACATTAATCAATTAAAATCTTCTCGATTTACTAAGAATTTGCCACGCTATTTTAAAATATTATATGAATTAATATTAAAGCCCTCTCGTGGATTCATTCTAAATTTAACCTTCGATAACATCTTTTGGCTCCACGCCACCCTTCAATCTAAATTTGGCAGAATCGGAGTATGCTCTCTATCAATCTTATCTTAAAGGTTATCAGCTCGAGTTAATCTTAATGCCATGGCCAATAAAGTGGACCACGATTTATCCCTAATACATATTCAATTTCTTTAGCGGGAACTATTTTTTTTCATTTTTACCAAAAGATGGGATGACCTTTTAGTTGCTACTTTCGTTGTTCACCTATTATCGAACGTTGAGTTAGAAGATAATAACCCCTATAATTCAATTTGGAAATCCAAATCTGGCTGAGTATGGTTCGAGGTTTTTCCATTCCAATCGTAACCTATAATTATTGTCAGAACGATTTTAATTTTCAATAACACTACTTCTCTTCCATGTGATTACACCTGAAAAATGTTAGTTCCAAATTGCTTCAAGGGCCCACCAATCTCCATTGCAAATTCTTGTGAGGACACCTGTCAGCCATAAATAATATTTTATAAATTCTATTAAAAATCCTAAATTATCTTATTTTCAATAATACAAGGATAAAGGGTAAGCCAATCATTCGGGCATATACCCCCCACCCTCCATTATGGAACTTTATTGGCTGGAAATTTTTTAAAAAATCTAATCACCAAAATACTATTTATTCTTATCCACTGATACCTATTTCCTAATTAAGAGTTTGGCTAGGATAATTTATTGCGAGATTGGGGAATATTGTATTCAAATTTTATATAAAAAAAATTTAAAATAAATTAAACAATAACAAAAATAAGCCATTAAATAGGTTCGCGCAATCACCTCACTATTGATCTACTCTATCTCGAATAGAGATGAAATATAGGCAATTAGATCTAATGATGTTTATGGCAAACTTTTGTCTAAGGTAGTAACCCTGATGGAGTTTATATCTTTTATCGGTGATGCGCTTGTCAATTTATTTAATTAGTTTAAGGACTTTGGTACTAAACGTCAAGTGAGTAGAAGGAATGATAGAGACAAAATGACCTAGATAAATCAATGTATTTATTGATTTTTGAGACCTCTGTTGGGAAGAGTGCGTCTTTATTTATGTTAGATAAAGAAATAGCGTCGATACACAAAAAATCTCATAAGTGATCTGTTCTGTAGTCCATGTTATGATTATACTTTCCGTCGGTCCAGGGGAGTCCAGAAGGCTCTGGTAGAAATTCTCGCATAAACTAAAGTACGTTTGATGGTTTCATTGCATATAGAATGTCGTGAAAGGTCTTTGCAGGATTGTCAATACAGACCATGTTTGTCTTTGGCGTTAGTGTATTTTCGGCCTCAATTTTGAGTATTAGCCACTTCTATCGATTGAAATCCCACATCGATAAATTTCTTATATTTGAAAACAAGCGGAGTTGTTTAAGTAAGTATCTAGATACAAAAATGTTATATTATCTATAAACTATTTTAGAGATATTTGTATAGGTTTTTAGACATATTCTTATATTTTTATTTGACGCTTTTTAATATTAAAAATAAAAATTAGATGCAAAATTCATTTTATATTACAAAATATTAAGGCTAATATAATTTAAAAAAAATATAAACCTAAAACTTATATAAAAAAAATATATCTTTATAATCCATTTTTGTTGATCGGACAAATATCCTAGCACCCGGGCCGGCTGCCCATCAGTGACCGGGGTACTTCCAAGCTCGATAAATCATCATTTCACACATAACTGCTCATCAGCATCAAAGGAAATTTTTTATTGTCAACTTCGAGGTTTGACTGGAACCTTCGTATACTATGGCAACATCGTCGCATTAGGTCACCCTTTGCTACGCCACAAAAATATACCGGAAAAATATATAAGAATAATACAAGATACATGAACCACACGCCGACAATTATCCAAAGTACACCGGGCACATCAATCGGCTTCCACATAGCTGAGGGAGTTCATCAAGAGTCTGTTCTTAGCCCACTACCGTTCATAACGGCGATGGATATATTATCGCAGACTAGATCAGAAACAACTCCATGGAATATGATATAGTAATACTTTCTGAAGGTGGAATGATGGAAAGATTTATAAGTTGGGTAGATATATTAGAAAAGCATGGCTAAAAGTTAACAAGGAAAAAACAAATTATATGGTAATAGGTGGTGATGAAACAGACAACATCAACATAAATGAATGGTAGGTATCGGCAATTGATTGAAACTTACAAATTTGGGATTCCCTTTACAAAGCAATGGGACAATCGAAAGAGGAATAAAAAATAAAATGAGAAATTTATCTCCTTGACAAAAGAATTCCTCCAAAATTAAAAGGGAAGATATACAGTTTCATAATACAACCAACTATCCTATATAACTCGGAAACATGGCCAAGCAAAAAATTAGACGGGAGAAGTCTACAGATAACGGAGATGAGATTGCTGAGAGTTAGTGTTGTTAAACGGCTCGATTTGAGCCGATTTTTAAAAACGGCTAATTCAATATTTTATCCAAAAGAAAATTTTGCTCATAGATGGTATAAAGGTTTAGATATCTATTAACGAAATCTCAAGGCTTTGGCAATATTTTTTTGGATAAAATCTTGAGTTAGTTTTTTAAAAATCGGCTCTAATCAAGCCATTTAACAACACTACTGAGAGTGCTAGCAGGGCA